CTTACGATATTAAAATTGGGCCTATATGACTTTTCACGCATTCCTCGCGCAATCTTCTTTTTTTAATGTATAATAATGTTCAATATGTTCAATAACGCGTATAATAAAAATTCTCTCATGCTTTAAATCTCATGCTCTAACGAGTAATTGTTCTTTTTTTTTTTAATAGAAATATTCTGAAATTTTTAATTTAATATTTTGAATTTATTGTTCTTTGTTTTTTAAACTTGTTTTAAACTATTAACATTTGCATGACTTACAAAATTTAAATATATAAAAATCTACATTAAAAAATAAAAAAGCTATCTTTAAAAATATATTCTATTAAAGAGAAAAATGTTTTTTTCACTGTTTCAAAAAATTATATTTGAGTTGCGTTACTTTAAAAGCAAGGTATATTTAAATATAAAAGTTTAAAACATCATATAAAACATAACCGGTCGCTATATTGTTCGTACCTTTATATACCGTCCCCTAGTAGAGATATATCTCTGTACGCGATTGTACTATTTTATTCATATCTTTATGCCTGCCACCATACCGATATACGCCAAGATGCCGTTGCTGACATGGCCATTTCCCTGAATGAAACATCACATCAACAAGAGGCTTCCAGAATCACTAATATGAGATCTTAACATATAATACATAATGCAATACAGAATTTCATTAAAACTCACGATCGCTGAGGCGTGAGGAAATAACATGTAAAACACGTTTTCATATGTTCAATTCAATTGCATCAACGTGTAATAGTAAATAAAAAATATTGTCTTTTAATATTAAAAAGAACAAATATTGATTTTCCGAGAATATTGATTATATATACTTTAAGAATATATGCAGTTTCTAATTCTATTAGAAACGTTTTAACGTTTGTCATAAACTCTTTTTAATATATATATATATATATATATATATATATATATATATATTTATATCTCGATCTTTATCCTCACTAATAATGATAATGGAATATGGAATATATGAGAACGTCGATAATTGACTGGATACAATGTTTATCATGCTCCATTATGACTTGGTTGTTGACACCGCTGTTCCTGGCAAATCTTTGGCCAATTATCGTTTACACTCTATCGTCGGATTTGCGATTACGTTGCTGATTACGCCGACCGAAGCGCATTCATTAACGTGCCGTCGCAGAATAACCAGCGTGGAATCTATTATACCATATTGCAAACTAGGATAGATTTAAACCACAATGTTGTTCCACATTCAGTACTAAATGGTACAGATTCATACAGTTAATACGTTTCATATCATGTAGGATATATATAAATTATATTGTATATATATTCCATACATGTATATATATGTAGAACGCCTGTAATATATTAAATTGAGAGAATATTTGTAATATACGCATTCGTAATAATAGTTGAATTAGAATTCTGTTTTAAGCACATAATTAATAAGCTTGTTGATGCTACATGCTTCCATTGTACATGTTTAAATTAGTATTCGTAACAAATTATACAAGCTGTTGAGCTTAATAAAATCATGATCATATTTGTCAAATGGTAACAAAATGGCATTGTATTCTCTCGAACTTTACTATTCGAAACGAATTCGAGCTTTAAACCAACACACTCGCGTGAAAGCTCGCGTAAGGCCAACTAGTATACCGAGACTAGAAATCCGAGAAATGGGTTCGGATTTATTTGACAGGGGCAGGACGAGACGTTTAACAAACGCACGGGTGGTAAAAAATACATTAGTGGTTAATTCGGATGTATTTACGCCGCTCGGCTAGGCGAAAACACGTTGCGACAAAAAAAAAATGCTGAGTCAAGAATATATATGCCAGAGTGGTGAGATTGGAGTTCCACCCGCTGGCAGAATTTTATTATCCTCGCGAATTTTGGTACGTGAATTATTCTCTGTAGGACACGTTTCGACTCGAAAGGCAAAAACGGGAATTACGAGGAGTTTTATGCCAAATCTCTTGTATTCAGCAACTTTATATAAAAATCACGTACGAGTTTTCGAACGAATTATTTCCAACGTCTTTCTCAATTAAATAAAAAGATTAAAGCGGGAAGAAATGCGATTGCAGCTCTATAAATCTTGTTAATATAAATCCTCAATACAATTTTTAAGCTGTTACTGATTTTATAAACAATTTTTTGTAAATTCCTTATCTATCATAAGATAGTTTTTTTTCTGTTGAATATCATATTTTATTAAAGTTGTTCCGTTGCATTACTTTTCAATCAATCTGCCCTACTTTTGTTGACACTTCTATCGATTCTCAACCGACGATCTTTATAGATATATCAGAAAACAACCTCTCTTCCCCTTCCACCAATCTTCAAAGTTACTATACGTACCCCAATGGGAAATTTCGATCTGCAGTCAGCAGGGAGACTCCCGCGTTTCCAGCTTTTTGCGGAATGGATTTATAAAATCGATCTCGCCGTCTCGACTTCATGTTTTACGATTTTACGAATAAGGAAACGTGCAAAAGAAAGACGATTTATTTCGCGCCAACTCTCCCTCCCCGCTTCCCGACATAAACGCACCAGACAGAGTAGATGCACCTGCATCGATGCACCCGTAGCGCATAAAAAGGGGAGAATAAGGGGGTGGGTGGTAGAGGTTGAAAAGGACTCGGGATAGTCGACGTGTTTCCTCCAAGCCGCTTATCGAGCACGCCGGAGCTCTTACGTTCTCCAGCGCTTCGCGTATATTCTCCGTTCCTTGCCCACTCACTTATTCTTCTCTTTAGCCTCGCGCAGAGTTCAAAATCAACGGTCGTGTGTATCTGCGGTCCTACATTCGCAAATAGAAGTGAATAATTCTATGCTTTTAATCTCACTCATCGCGCGAGGAAACGACAAATCTAGATAACCGTGATACAAAGAAAAAAAGAAAATGACTTTCTTTTACCAATACCGCCCCGCTTTCGTAATCTACAAATTGTTTCCTTCTAGCCGTTTCATACTATACCTTTCAACAAGTTTTAGTCGGGTTTTTTTTATCGGTGCTTTAAATCTCCGGGAAGAAAAACTAAAAAGTTTTTCTTCATATTTCAGGACGATTTTACATAGATCTCGACGGCGAAATCTATATAGGAGTTAAGAAAATTTTGCAAATCGAAAAATTTTAGACATCAAGAACTTTGTAATCTAGCAGTAAAATTTTAAGCATCAAACAATTTCGCGATCTAAGAGTTCTAAGAATTTTTAAGAATTTTAATAATTTAAAGATACGAGAAGTCCAGAATCTCAGAATCCAGGAATTTCAGAATTCAAGAAATTAAAACAAAATTAGATTTTGTCTAATTTCGTTAAAAATTTCTTGAGTAAAGATATCGCAAGCGAAATATGTAAAAATCTCACAAGAATTTCTATTGGCATATCTTACGTCAAATTCGTACATGAAAAATTACGTTCCTTCGCGCGAATATTTATTTATTAGATTTACGAGAGGAACGATGAAAACCGCCGTAAGCGGAAAATACCATGATGTAAGCGCAATTAATCTCATGTAAAATGAAGGTAAGTGAGGTGCGATAGTCGCGCCGATTTTCAGCAAAGCTGGGCGATTGTTTATTATGGCTGAAAGTTTACGGCAGGCGGATCGCGAATTGTAGCAGCGAAAACGTAGAGTTTTCAGAGCGAAGCAGTTATGCCAATATGAAATTCTTCCGGATTGCATGTACAAAGTTACGTTGTTTATAGTGTATCTTAGCTCCAACTTTCGATGGCAAAATAACTCGTCCTCTCCCCTTGCCGACTCTCGTTGCTTTTTATTTGGTCGGCGACGCTCGTGCAAACGGAAGAAACGGAAGTCGTGCGTTATCGTTGTCGTTTTCCCTAATGTTCTCAGAAACTGCTGAAAGATTCACAAACGTAAAAAAAACGATCGCGGGGACTTCGCCTAACTAAATCTTACGGCGTGCTTGCCTTCAACTTTAAAGAAGACACGAATACTGCTCCCGCTGCATCTCGCTGCAGCCAAGAAAATTTTTGTTCGTTGTTTGCGAAGGCGGATCGCATAAACACGATCGGTAAGCATATTCGATAACGTTAATACAAATAAATGAATAAATTAACACATTGACTTTTTTTATGTCATACGACATCACAAAAGATTAGCTATTTTCCGCGGGAAAAAAAACATATCCGGTTCGTGCAATAGATTTTATATACAAGGGAATGCAAAATAATACTTGATGACACGCTGGTATCTGCATGAATACGTAATTGTACATGTCACTGCCAGCTGTATTGTGCAATCGGCATTCGTGATGGAATCGAGAATCAATTTTCATACATGATATAACTGTAGAGAAATTTCTGCATCGTCATTGAGTAATTTATTATTTATCACCATTATCGTATTAATAATAACATCAAAATAATATTAAATATTACAAATATGACAAACGTTACAAACTGGCAAAATAATATTCTCACGCAAATGCCTGCGTGACAAATATATATTAAATGTATACAGATGACGCGCAAGCTTAAGAGTAATTAAAATACTGATATCTATAACATTTACGATATCATTGTTTAAGTTTGGCTAAATATATATTAATCGATATTAACGCATCTTATAATCTGTCTTCTTTAAAATTTTTCAATGTTAAAGCCTATGAATTGGTCAAATAGGTTACACCTACTAAAACTTATAATTTTGTGTTGGTAATTTCTTTTCTTTCGCACTCGTTAAATGTCAATGTCGATGGCGAGCTGCAACTCGTTAATCCGCAAACGACGGGGGTTTCAGAACGCGGCGCGACATCGAGAGGATAATCCCGCGACGGAGCACTTAAGCGTTTAAACTTTAACCCGTTCGATCCCGCCAGCCGGCTCGTGTCGCGAACAATCTTTTCCCCGAGATAGCAGCCGATCGTGAAGCGGCCGTAACATTCGTCTCCCATCGATAGAAGACTTCGAGCGGAATCAGCCCAGGGCCGCGATTTACGTAACCGGGCTTCGCGTGTGAATAATTCAGCCGGCACTCACCAACTACGTTGAGGCTATAGTTGAGCGACATCTTCGGCTCGGTGCTGACCTGGCACTCGTACACGCCAGAATCGCGCTGCTGCGGCGACTTGATTTGCAGCGTCCAGTTCTCCGACTTGTCCGGATGGATCACCTGGAACCTCAGGTCCGACGTGTACATGAAGATGCCCGCACTCAAGATATGCATGTCCCGTTTGCGCATCCAGGACACCTGCAACATAAACAGCACAACCTGTAGTCACGCTAGTCACATGCTACGCATGTTTGCCGCAGTTTGCAGCCGCAGACTGAGCACACTTCAATCTCTAAATTCTGTAGATTTAATCTTAAAAGAATCTAGTGGCTAAACATTACCGATGCTTCAACTTTAATGAATAGATTTATGAAAATTTTTGAAACGATATTTAGCTGTATATCAATAATATTTTTTTAACAAAATAAAAATTTGTTAACGCATTTATATTTTTGTTTGTTTGTACTGTCAGTTTTTAAAAAATATTATATGTATTTAAAACATTAATTATTTATGTGTTTACAAATAAAGAATCATATGTTTCAATATGCCAGACCAACCTTTCCTTTAAAATAATGCAATCATTTCATCTTTTAAATTTAAAATTGCCCTTGTATAGCAAAATGATCGGTGAACTATCTAATTTACATAAACTTTAAATCGCAAAGATATTCAAACTCAGGTACACGTTATAAATGTTTAGCACCGGAAGTTCTCAAGCATCAACGGCTGCGCTGCTACAATACTGGCCCAGGGAGCCTGCAACGTCTTGGTCGTGTTAGAACAAAGACCACGGAAAGCACCCACAGCGCCGTAAATCCCCGGTCGGTCGACGTGTGTGTCGCAAACGATCTCTATAGTCTCTCATTGTTTTGCGCGCGAACATGTCTGCCGGCTATTTAATGCGCCGTCAGAGTTCCGGGGGCGTAATTTCCGGGAGCGCGCCTTGAAAACGGCAGCCAAACGCAATTATCAGATCTCTTCCTTCTTCTAAAGACTTTTCTGTGCAGTGCAGTTTGAATTTCTTTATCACGAGAGCTGTATTGAATTCGTACAAATTAGTACTCGTCCAGACAAGCTTCATAAGTGAAGATATGCGATTTCTTTTAAAAAGAAGAAATACCGAGACATGTGGCAATATTTATCGCAACAGCTGCAGATGATGTATTTTTAAAAATAACGTATGTTAGACCAATACTGTAAATACAGACATTATAATAATGCATTTACACGTTGGCCTAATATATGTTATTTTTAAAATATATCATCTGCAGCTGTTGCGATAAATATTGCCACTTGTCTCGGTAAGACGTCAGCCCGGAGAGGTCCAAGTTCAAATCCTGGCTGAGATAATATTTTTCGCAGCAAAATTTCTTTACAGTATTCTTGCATCACATTGAGGGAAGGGAAGAATTTTATAATATGACATGCTTGTAAGCATCAATATTATTAAACTGATTATCAATTTAATATTGTAATATTTTATATTACTATACTGATTGAATTGAGACCGTAATTGAGAAAGTAATGGCGCGGAGTTTGTAGAATTAAAAAAAATGTATATAAAAATCACATAAAATTTCAGTGAGCACCAAGATCCTGCTATGATGATCATTGGTCTGTCTCGCGAATTAAAATGTATTAAACACTGTACGCGGTCAGATACATATAATGTTTGAAGAAATAATTTGTTTAAGAATATGAGTTTCTTTTCTTTTCACTTTTCTTTTCTTTTATTTTTAATTTGTGTAATAAAATAATGTAAAATATTTTGTATTAATTAGATTTTCTTATGCCAAAAATTAAGTAGTAATGCCGCTTATAGGATAAAACTAGAATAAATAATTCTCTTCCTTGTATTACATGTTTCTGTCGCAATTACAATTTACGATAATGCAAAATAATTGAGAACACATTCAGAAATTTTTTCACTTTCTAATCTTATTTCTTAAAAGCTTATTCACCGAGTAGTCTCTATGCTTTAACATTGCACAGAAGTCAAAGAGACAAGTGATCTGGATAACGTTTGGTATATCCATTAAACGGCAATGAAAGGTACAAAGCTCGTGCGATTTAGGTAGGTGGCTTAGCCGTGCACGCATATCACGGCGGCGTACGATGCACTCGCATGATTGGATGATACCTTTGCGAACAAATGCCACGGACTAATTCGCGCAACGTGCTACTGAATCGGAGGTCAGCCACCAGCAATAGCGATCTAACCCCGCGGGGTAGTGCTGCATCAAGCGGATTGATTGTCTCCTATCTCGCGACGATCATCATCGGTCAACCATGAATTTCATTTTGCAAATTGAGTTTCCTGCCCAAGGTAGCCACTGGAAGAGAACTGTACGTTCAGTGCTAAAAGCATTAATGTACAACAGTCAGTCGTCGGCGCTGTAAAAACAATTGATTTTTGATGAACCGTTGATGGAGATTGATTATCCCGTCGTGTCCCGATCGATACTGCATTGACGTTCCCAACAGTGTTCAAGTATGGGCCAAAAGCACTTTGAACTGTGTGAACTCTATATGTATGTCAAGATATATGTATATATATAGTTATGTATATATGATATATGTTATCAAAGTGCTTTAATTCTAAATAATCTAATCAAATTTGATTATGTTTTTATTATGACAAATAATATTGACACTAGATTTACGCATATTGTTTATAAAATTTGTCATAATTTAAAAAATTTTATTATAATTTATAATGTTAACATAATATACATCTCTTTTAGAACACAGCAGATTCATATTCTTTAATTTTACAATCAATAAAGTCTTTAATAAATAATTTTTGCAAAGGTTTTTTTCTGCCAAAATGTAGATGATACGCAATTTAATGATACTGTTTCGTAGCATTTAATAAGATAATGTTTATACAGATCATTATCACGATAATTATGAAAGTTGCATAATTATGAATAGGTCTATGCAAAGATGTGGCATTACGATTGTAATTCTACAACAGACTAAAATGATATATTTATTGTGATCTAATTTGGGTAACGTTTGCATTATGGTGAATCATCATTAGGTATAACAGTGTCATCTGTTAGTTGTCATATGATATTGGCTAATACGTTTGCTGTAGGATTGTTATTAGTGATGCCTGTTAGGCATTAGTACAGCACAATCCACACCACATTTGCACCAAGAGCGGATGTTTCGCGCGCTCTAATGCAAACGTATGGAAGCAAATAAATTTGCTCGATTGAATTTACCTTCCGCACGAATATTCTGCATATATGCAAATTGCATACTTAAAAAGACGAAAACTTCACGCATTAGTATTTTACAGAATTAATGTCTATTATTTTACATTCAATTTACGCGCGTATTTTTTTTCTCTTGTGTCTCTCTTTTTCTCTCTCCTTTCTTTTTTTTTTAAATAAATCTAGGTTTAATATATGAAATAATTTCATATTTCATATTTTTTCTCGGACAATTCTCTTTTCTTCATTATATTAATGCAATAAATTGGTAGCGCTTCATTATTAAGAGAGACGATGTAAATTGTAAAATATAATTTTCTATTAGAGAAATATGCGAATATGTTTTATATTTTTGCAATATTGCTGCTTCTGGACAAAAAAATGTTATAAGTGTACAATGCTAAAATCGATAGCATATTTTTCGAGCTAGCGTACTTTTAAATATGACTTTTATGTAGTTGTCCAATGAAACATTGCAAATAAAAGAGCTTTTATAGATTCCTATAGGATATACGATAATCAATACATCATATTGTTTGTCTTGTTCACTAAATGCTATTGTAGATAGATTTAAGTCTAGTCATCATGGTTTAGGTAGGAGTTAAGTGGTAGCGACGTTTTTATGCGATCCTAAATAAGCTCTCTCTCTCTCCGCATTTGTAGATAGATTTAAGTCTAGTCATCAATGGTTTAGGTAAGCGTTAAACGGTAGCGGTCACGCGACGTTTTTATGCGATCCTAAATAAGCTGTGTAAAATAATTGCGCTATATTTTAATCGATTATGAGAGAGAAATTGTACGCGGCATAGATGCCCATCGTACATCGTTAGCCGCGTAAAACCGGCAGATTCGCCGCACAACACACACGGTTTACCGCGATGGCGGCATCTGCATGCGCTTCATTATTTATGAGGTCGCTGAAATGGCCTGATCGCCGCTCATTGGGGGATTGACGGGTATCGATTTCGCTTGTCGCAAGTCCGCGGCGACGATTACGCGTCGTATGATGGATGTTTCGTTCCGCTAGTAACGCGTCGAGATGAAAAACGAGGCTCCAGGACCGCGCGAAGACAAATCCTGTGTGAACTATAAAGTCACGATGTTCTCCCAGTCGATATTACGGCATACATTTGAATAGATATTCAATGGCGGCTGACATATATCTTATGGTACGCATGCATATGCTATATGTCAGCTAGTGAAGCTTTTATGTTAATTCTTTACCAGTGACGTAAAAAATGAATGCTAGAACATTTAACTGAATTGAAAAAGTCATATACATGCATGACCGATCTCAGCTCCGAGTAATGCTGACCTTCGTAGAATTTAATAAATGGCATCGCGCGAATGTTTAGTCATGAAAAAATATTTTTGATTACTTTTGCTTTTCAAACCGGAGAGCTAACAACTTGTTTTTTTTTTCATCTAGTTATTCGATGTGTTGTGTCTCGAAATGGCTTTTACCCTCTGAACGTTGAACCCACTGCAAGGCAACTCCCGCGAATTACTTAGACAGTTGTCGGAATAATGGACGATATTTGGACATAGGAGCTTCCCGCAAATACCTAGCGCGTGAACAATGGTCACGACGCTCCGCCGAAAGGAGTTTTGTTCACCGGAAACTAATGCCCCGGTTGCCAATCTCAAATTTCATACGTGTTCGACGAGGTGTTCGACCTGCATCGATGTATAGTGACTTTAGCATGAAATGTGCAAAGAAAACTTTCACAATAATTTGCGATAGTTTACGTTGTTATATCTCGAATTTTTTTTGTTAGTCGAAATTAGAAAAAAATCAGCCGTCTGCTTATTGATTAGTATATAAACATAACATTTCTACTACGAAATGTAAAATTTCTTTTACCAATATTTATGATATAAAAGCAAGCTTGTTGTAAAATATAATATCAAAAGTATGTCTTATTACAATATTCTTTGAATGTGATAAAAATAA